ACAGACTTGGCATTGAGTGCCAGCAAACCTGCCACACCCACGTCCATAGCGATTGTTGGGTCATCCTCCACAACCATGTCGTGCACCAAGTCTGCCACCACGGAAGGAAGCAAATTGAGAGTCTTGATGGGCAAGATTGGCTTGGGGTTGCAAGGTGGGGGAATTAGAACCAGAGGAGTTTTCAAGAAGATTGACAAAGATGAGGTTCTTTTTCTTGAATTTCTCAAGGCGTGATTCATGAGCAAGAAGAAGGGTTTCGACTTCCTCTATTGACAGTTCATCAAAACGGCTGCTAATTAGAGAAACAGTGGACTCATATTCCTCCGGAAGGCCTTCAAGAACAATATCAAGATGTTCTTTGGGGGAGACAGAATCACCAATAGCTGTGAGGGCATCAACCAGGGATTGGATTCGAAGAAGGTAATCGGAGACTGAACGATTGTCAAGAGTTGTGCTGCGAAGATCACTTTGGAGTTGACGGGCCTTGGCGTTAGTGTGCGCATGAAAATACGCATGGCCCTTGTCCCAAATTTGGAAGGAGGATTTGCATCCTATGACTCGAGTGAGCATGTCCTTGGACATTGATGATTGTAACCAGGAAAGAAGTAACTGATCTTGTTGTTCCCAAGCAAGATATTCTTCAGAGATTCGGTTGGCATCTCTGTTAGAAACATTAAGAAATTTCTGAGGAATTTGAGGATTGACAGAAAGTGATGAAGACGGTGGCCTTTGATGACTGGTTGAACTTGTTGACACCAAAGAAGATAGTTCTTGGTGTCTAGTTTTTCGGAAATAATGTGCGAGAAGGTGAGGGAAGGGGATGAGGAGGGTTTTACCGGTGCAACATGAAAGTGGGGTGGTGATGAGGGTGGTATTGTTGAGGAAGACGATGGTGGTTCTTCAGCCATGAGTGGAGACAGACAGTGTAGTCAGGCAGAAAGAAAAGAAAGGTGGTAAGGATCGACAGCTCTATGATACCATATTAGAATTGTGAGAGTCTTAAAGATTGGAGAAGGAGAGAGTGAGAGAGAGAGAGAGAAGAATTAACAGAGAAAGGGAATTGTATTTTCAATAATGAATCTGTAATACAATTGTCTTATTTATATGTTTCAATAGCTTCAAAGGAAGCTATAGAAACATTGACCTGGTGAACAGGTAATCAAGCTAAAACAGAAAATAACTAACTGAAATAATAACCCTATACATTGATAAATCTAATACAATATTAAGGAGTAAAGATATACTCCAATAACCTTCAACCTTCTACCTCTACCATATGTGCATCTATTGAGTCTCCTGATTTAATCTATCATCACCTAGTCATCCAAGCTTGAATAAATTAAAGAAAATGGTACCTCATCTCTCACGGTTGGAGTCCTTGAAGTGTGAGTCGTGTCAATTAGAGAAGCATGTTAGAGCTTCTTTTCCTAATAGTATTAATAGTCGAGTTGTGTCTCCTTTTGATGTCATTCATTATGATGTTTGGGGTCCTAGTCACGTTTGTTCTCTTTTAGGACACAGATATTATGTCACCTTTACTGATGATTTTTTTAGATGTATTTGGATATTTTTAATGAAAATTTGTTCTGAGTTATTCAATATTTTCCAAAGTTTCTATTTGAAAATCAAAACTCAATTTGGCAAAGTAATTCAGATTTTACAAAGTGATAATGCTAAAGAATATTTTTCAAATTGCTTCAAATCATTTGACTTCCCATGGCATTCTACATCAATCTAGTTGCGTTCATACACCTCAACAAAATGGTATAGTTGAGCGAGAACATAGACATATTGTGGACACTGCTCGTACTCTTTTATTGAATGTCAATGCACCCCCAAAGTCGTGGTGCGATGCTGTCCTCGCTGCAGGGTATTTAATAAATCGAATGCCATCCTCTATCTTGAATGATCAAGTACCTCATTCCCTATTATACCCATTGGATCCCCTTTACTCTATCCATTCTCATGTCTTTGATTGTACTTGTTTTGTCCATGATCTATTTTCAAGACGTGCTAAGTTGTTTGCTCAGACTATCAAATGTGTGTTCTTAAGGGGTACCGTTGTTACTCTCCTGCTACGCATTGGTTTTACACCAACACAGATGTCACTTTCTTTGAAGATACACCATATTTCATTGCTATAGATGTCTCTCTGGTTGACTCAGATCTCCTTTCTCAGGTATTACCTATTCCTAATTTTTATCCTTGTGTGCCTCCTACACTTGCTACTTTAGAGGCACCAGAGATTCCTCCCACACTACCAGGGTCTGGCCATCCTCTACACCAATTTGGGATAACCTATGAGTGTCAGTCACATATTGTTCCTCCCAGTGCTTCTACAATTGACCCATGTGATTCGACCCCTGCTCCGGTCTCCTCACCTATTCTAGCCCCACCTACCTCAATTGACCTGTCCATTGCTCTTCTTAAAGATAGTTGTTCTACTTGTAATCCTCATCCTATTTATAACTTTCTTTCATATCATCGTTTCTCTCCTACCTATTATGTTTTTGTCTCTGCTATTTCCTCTATTACTATTCCCAGGACAGTGCAAAAGGCCTTAACCCATCCAGGATGGTGACAAGCAATGATTGATGAGATGACAGCTTTAGACTCCAATCACACTTGGGTACTTATCCCACCTCCGCCTGGAAAATCTATTGTTGGTTGTCAGTGGGTCTTTAATGTTAAAGTGGGCCATGATGGACAGGTGGATAGATTGCAAGCCCGTCTTGTGGCTAAGGGATACACACAAGTATATGGTTTGGATTACAATGACACTTTCTCACCCGTTGCAAAGATGGCCTCAGTTCATCTCTTCTTAGCCATGGCTGCTATGAGGCATTGGCCTTTGTTTCAATTAGACATCAAAAATGCTTTCTTACATGGTGATTTGAAGGAGGAGATTTATATGGAACAACCTCAGGGTTTGTTGCTCAAGGGAGGTCTGGTCTTGTGTGTAAATTACAGAAGCCCTTTTATGGCCTCAAACAATCACCCCACGCTTGGTTTGGTCGGTTTAGCAAAGTTATACAGGAGTTTGGAATGATCCGCTGCAAGGCAGACAACTCTGTCTTCTTTAGATGCTCATTAACACAAATTTGTCTATCTTGTTTATGTAGATGATATTGTGATTACAGGTGATGAACAAGAGGGCATCAAGGCTCTGAAGCAACACTTATTTAAACACTTTCAAACTAAGGATTTACGTCCCTTGCGCTATTTCCTTGGGATTGAGGTTGCTCAGTCAAAGTCCAGTATTGTTATTTCTCAGAGAAAATATGCCCTTCATATTCTGGAAGAGACTGGACTTACAGATTGTAAGCCAGTTAACACTCCCATGGATCCCAATGTGATGCTTATGCCTAATTAGGGGGAGCCTTATCCTGACCTAGGGAGTAGGGAGATATCGGAGATTAGTGGGAAAATTGAATTATCTCACCATGACTAGACTTGATATATCCTTTTCTATCAGTGTTGTAAGTTAGTTTCTTAACTCTCCGAATGAGAGTCATTGGCATGCAGTTGTTCGGACCCTTAGATACATCAAAGGATCACCAGGAAAGGGACTTGTTTACAATGATAGAGGACATACAGACATTGTTGGATATTCAGATGTAGATTGAATAGGTGATGCAAGTGATAGACGATCAACATCAGGCTATTGTGTTTTCATGGGTGGTAATCTTGTCTCATGGAAGAGTAAAAAGCAAAGTGTTGTTACACGATCAAGTACAGAAGCAGAATACTGTACCATGGCTCACACCACATGTGAGCTCTTGTGGCTAAAATTCTTAATTCAAGAATTGCAGTTTTGCAAGGTTGGTCATATGGAACTAGTTTGTGATAACCAGTCAGCTTTATACCTCTCCTCTAATCCAATTTTTCATGAGAGAACAAAGCATATAGAAGTTGAATACCATTTAATCAGAGAAAAGATCCTCTCCGGTATCATCAAGACCTCCGCCATTTGCTCCAAGGATCAACTTGCAGATATCTTTACTAAATCTTTACGAGGTCCTAGGATAACATATATATGTAACAAGCTAGATGCATATGATATATATGCTCCAGCTTGAGGGAGAGTGTTAAGATATTCTATGATATTATTATGATAAGATATGGTTCAAAGATATTAGTTTATCTTCTCCTTATTTATAGTTTAGTATCCTTAGTCAGATTTATCTTAATCTCAAAACTTTAGGGATTGATTCTGTTACATGTATTATTTATTTGATTGTACCCATCAATTCAGAATCAATAAGAAATTATTCAGATTCAAGTATTTTGAATAAAGAAATAAAATAAAAAATTGGTTCTGGTTCTGGGTAGAAATAATTTTAGCCCAAATCTTCGTGTTGAACTACAGTGTTCTATAATAAATCTTTTACAAAGAACTAAATGAAATTTATCATCATGTCAATATATACTGTTCCATCTGTTTGTGACAATCAGAAGTCAAAACTGGTGAATTTATTTATTTGTATCATTTCCACCGAACTTTAGTTGTAAATGTTGATAAAATGAGCATTTTATTTAGCTACGGATACATTATTTAGTATTATTTGTTTTACAAATTATCAACACGTGCCAGAGTCAGAATTCTTTAACTAGTGACTTCCATTCAGATACCTTATCCAATGGGACTTTAATCTATGATATTTGACTTTTTTAATAAAGGAGAGTGACTAAATCATAATTAGAACATTAATAACTTATGGCTAAGATATTTTCCTATCTTCCCCCTACATATACCTTTCTTTTATCTCTAACAAATTTAATTTTCCCATCACAAAAATGTGGAATTATTTTTCTTTTCCTATCCAGAAAGATCTTAAGATATTGCACGCCCAAGAATTTATACCAGATCTACCACTGAAACAAATTTCATTGGTACTGATAATTATAAATATATGCAGAATTGATCCACCTTTGCAGTACAATTTGTTTCCAATCGGGGAATAAATCTAGAAAAACATTAAGCTCCCTGTCTTACATACCAGATCACTTTGCTCAACAGTAAGATTTCTTCCTCCCTTACTAAGATCTCTGAGTGTGCCCTGTCAGATTTAAGAAGTGGATTCAGAGGAAATAAAGATATTAGCAAAGTGCAAACAATTAAAGAGATTGAGAATGCAGAGCATAAGTATGGACATCGGAATGCAAGGTGAAAAAGAAACATAACTATTATGACCAGCATATCATATAGTCAGAAACTTGCCACAGCCAAGGTAAAAGGGCATTTACTATAATAAAGCTCCAGCAGTACCCATACCAATGGGACCATAGTCCCAATCACGAGAAATAAAAGAACACCGTAAAAGATAATAAATGGCAATGGTTTAGTAGAACTAGACACAATAGTAGCATAAGCTAATGATATCCAAAATAGTTGACATAACAAAATGGTATCATTTGACCCATGTAGCTGACTCCATTTAGAAGAAAAGATTTCATCTGTTGTTGTACTTCAAATGAAGCACAGAGGTTCCAGTTCAAGCCAAGAATTTCATCGCAACCAAACTTATTAGCATAATGACTAACCTTGTTAGCCCACATAAGGCCACATGCATTGCATAAAGTCCTTGGTCCAGCTGGCCCACGACGCATTGCAGGAGTATTATTTTCACTGACACCACAATGGTGACATCTACGTCTGCAAGATATGAAAAAGCTGGTAGTGTGGATAGTGTTTTACAGAAATGCAATAACAAACACACACAATATCCACAACATCAGGATAAAATAATATATATGTAGGAAATCTGTGATTAAAACTTACACTGATTCAGAATGAAGAGTGCCATCTTGACCAGTACTCTGTGCAGAATCCCAATTAGATGAACCTGGGTTTTCCTTCAGGGATGCAAACTGCCCATTCTTCCTATGCATCCTAGCAAGAAAAACAACAAAAACAGAAAAACCAAAATAAAATATAAATATAAAAGAACACATCAAACTTCAAAAACAACCTGAAATAAAAATAATAATAATAAAAAAAAAACCCTACAAGGAGCCCTCAAAATGGCACTCAAGTACCAACTACCAACACAATGCACTGTGTTCCTCAGTCCTTAGCTGTTGAGAAATATCCTCACTGATTTGACTTTACCTGATAACAACTTGGGCCTAATATTTCATTATAAGAAAGTTCAATGTAAAGCCAACTTTAGTCAGACCAGACACAGGCCTTTTACATTATAAATTCTACATGTGACAATCAAGTTCAAATGTATTAGGCTCATCTTGTTAGTCTAGATAACTTTTTTATCACTTGATTATCACAGGAACATAATACAAGAGATGAGAGAATCACCAAAAAGCATGTCTTTTTATGTTTTTTGCAGCATTTCAATGGTGTTAGTGTGCAAAACAGTTTACCACTGGAACATAATGCCAGGGATTAAAATAAACAAATGCCCATTTTCTTGACCTCCTTATGGATTAAAGCAAATTGCTTTTCCCGTCCAACTTCCTTGATAGTTTTTGCAAGGGGATTGAGAAGGTCTATTAAGTTAGTTTATTTCTTTTTACTCTCTTCTTAAGGAGGATAGATACCAATATGTCACTTTTTTCTAAAATAAAACAATTGTAAACAATAGTCTTGTCAGGAATATTATTCAGATTCTAGCTGCACAAAAGTGGTGCAAAAGCAACATTGTGTCCAATTTGCAAAACATGCAAATGACTTTCAAAGATCTACTACAATTATCAAGAGCATAAATGGCAAGACTAAAGAGTGATCATATTGTTATCACAGCCAAGTCAACTTCCAGTGGACAAGAGTTATCAGTCATCACAATTTTGGGTGAAAGGGTGCAATATAAAATTTTATTTACCTCTGTGCCACCTCTTTTCTTACGGAATACCTAATTTTCTTGTCAAAACATCTTTCCTTGCGTTTCTCACGGAACCTGACCAAGGATGCTATTCTTCGTGAAAGGTTTGAACGCTTTGGAGTATCACCCATGCCCTAGAGATTTTAGTAGAGTGCTCAAATGCAAGCATAAAAATGCAATACAGGTTATAAAATTGTTCTCATCCAGTAGATATGTAAATTACTCTGTTACTCTGATCAATTGGTTGTTCAACTGTAGGCATGCCTGCCTGCACATCACGTCCTCCCAAGAGCAGCAATACGGCTTGCACCTGCCAATTGCTATGTTAAATTTGATCACCAGGTATTCCTCAATAAAATCCTCAATTATCATCCTTTTGGAGTTATTAAGCAGTAAATACTATGCCTAACTTAATTGCAAATTTCATTGTAACTTTATTCTATAAGTAATATTGGTTAATTTTCTGTTCTATCAATCAGTATTAAGTAATCATAAATCTGAATCAACGTACAATTGGTAAATTCATTTTTAATATCAAAGGTTCACTGGTAAATTTTATGATTTGGGTCATGGACACTAATTACGCTAGGACTAGGAATATTAGCAACAAACTCTTTGTATTGGTTAAAATTCATGTGGGATCCACTAAATAAGGGGTGAGACCTAGTGGGACTCGCATCATTTAATGAGACCTACATCATTTCATCTGATAGTAGTTTTAGAAAGATTGTGTTGCTACTTGCTAGCATTTCTTCTAAGCTTAATTTTTTTTATATTGCCTCTGTCATACTAAGTTAAAACTTAAAATCCTTAAAGTCACCGTCGTAAGAACTCAAGAACTGTTTTATTTTAGTAAATTCAAGTTTATAAATGAATACACTTTACTTGAAAAAATTACAGTAAGTACTAACTTCTTGTTACACTGACACAATTAAGTCTAGGTGCAATACCCAAAACGTGAAGCCTAGGTTACATTTATTGTTCTTAATTTTAAGCCTCGCCAAACTGCTGGTTCTTCAATAACAGACTATAAATAATCCAACTCTGTAGCACACTTCCAGTTCAGTTCAGACCCATGCTTTAGATGTTTCTTTTAACTATGTAAAGAACCAAGGCAAAGATACATAGCCCACATGCCCTGCAGAGTATCATTCATTTGGCATTACTACCTTACACAAAAATAACATCAGATAAACCTACTATATGTCGATTGAATTTTACTGGAATGTCTACGGATTCATTATCTCTGCTTTGAAAGAGATTCTATATGAATATATTGGTAATCAACATGACACTCATAGTATGTAATTAAATACAACCTCGTGGTTTTTTGTTTTTATTTTTTATACAATCCCAAGTCCAAACAACACTACCCTGCCCCCTCAATTTGTTAAATTTAACGACTAGTGCGAAGCCAATTGCTAATTTGGAATGAAGTTTGACAACAAAACGACAATCTACAACAATTATGGCAAAATAAAACTAAAAACTTCAAAGTTAAGAGAAGTTTCCTAGAAAGTACAGGAAATGAAAAAATAAAATAAAATAAAAGATAAAGATAAAATTACCTTCTGAGGAGTGACAGCTGGAAAGACATAAACCTCACCCTCAAAAGAAAGAGTGAGCTCGCTAGTTCTAGAAGGCATAGCAAGTACCGCTTCATGACTCGCACTCGCAGCATTAGCAACGCTAACTGAATTAACATTTGCATCCTCCAACTCGTCCATAGCATCGTCGTCGTCGTCGACGGGTATGTCAGGGTCCTCGAACTGCAGAGGCTGTGGATTCACGGTGGCCATAGATTTCCCCACGTGCCAAACCCTAATTTCCGAGGCAACGGAACATGGTTTGCGCGACCGAAATTGGACGCGTGGAATGGAAGTTTGGGAGTGGAGAGAGAAAATTGAAGGGAGTGAGGATCTGGAGAGCAGAGTTGTGTTTCCTGGAACGCACTCAAAAATCAAAATGAGAGTGAAATTTGGTTTGACGGCGTCAGCCTGTCGTGAAATTTCACATACTCCTTTTCTTATTATTATAAGAATAAGAACAAGAACAAAGGTTGTTAATGAAATGAAATGGAAGTAGTTAGTTATCTCTTGTGACAAGGTGTACGATGGTACTCGTACTTCTCAACCATTTACATAGGAGTGTAGTAGCTGCGATCTAACGTCTTGCCATGTTTATTAGTTTTAACAATAAATTCTTTCAAGTCATTCCGTATCATTAGAATTTAACGTGAATTTTGAGGAATAATATTTTACAGATTTATTAATAAAATTTAACTATAAAGATTAAAATATTTTTTTAAAATTATAATAACTTAAAAGATAGATTTTTAATTTGTAAAATAAAAATAAATTTATCCTAAATTTTGGAAACTAAAAAGTCATTTAATATATCTCAAAAATATTAATTAATAAAAGTTGTTTTACATATTAATCTTTTTATTAATTACTTTTTACTATTTAATTCATTACTAACAAATATCCTTCACGTGTTTGTTGGCAAGATTCTAAACTACATTAAGAAAGTGTTGAAAGTTGCGGTGTTTTTATAGTAGTGAATATCAGTGATGATGTAACGTGAGAATGGTCTGGTCTGAACATTATTGGAAGTGGGAACCAACCATTTATAGATAGTTCGTGGGATGAATATTTTGATGTTCCATTGGAATCTGCTTTCTGGTTTGTTGGTCTCTTGGATTCTGCTTGTGTCATTTTCTTGATTAAAAAACCTAAACATATTGCACTTATTGATTTTTTTTATAAATATAATTTACATAATATATCAAAATTAATCAATAATTATTTTACATTCATAAAACGCAAACATAATCATATAAATATATAGCAAAATTAAAACATTTAAATAAGTTAATAAAAAGGGTAGAATAAAATATATAGAACTAGGATAAGTGTATCGAAATCAAGTAACATCTTTTATTTGGACAAATCAACCCTCCTTTACAAAATTTTGGTTTTAAAAGCAACACAACATTTAGTTCCCTATTGTAAATATATATTCATGTTCAATAGTTTTTTTTGTTGTTGTTAAAATTAGTATAAAATAAATTTAAAATATTAGTCAGTTGATTTCATAACTCTAGTTTTAACATTTGAAATTTTATTAAAATAACTGTTGTTCAGAATTTTTAATGTAATATTAATTACTTTATGTTAATTTTTCCATGTAAATTCTTGTTAAAAATATTGCATTTATTGATAGAGTAACAAAATTTTATAAATTAGTATCAAGATGTAATATATTTAATATTGATGTTAAATTGATGTATTTTTGATGGATTTTTTTACTACATATATTAAAGTTGTCTCATTCTAAACATTTATAAGTAAATTTAGAGAATTATCAAGAACCATCCGGTACACCATTTTTAGCTACCGTTCGGTTTATCTTATTCCTACCCTCATATAATATACCCTTTGCACTTGTTTTTTTCAGTCTTATTTCAACCCTCTGCACTTGATTTTTTATTCTTTCTCTGATGCTTCTCTAATCCGGTTCGCACAGCATGCTCAAGTTGTGCTTCACACCAAATCTGAACTGGCGTTCATCTCTATGCATCAAATTTGTAAATAAAAAATCAAACCCAAAGAAGAGGGGAGAAGTAAAAGAAGAGGAAGCGACAATGATTAGAAAAGAAAGAAAAAACAGTGACACGACAAATCCCATTGTCTGGTACATCCACAATAACACCATTTGTCTGGTACATCCACAATAACACCTCCGCGGCAGCGTCGCAACCCACACTCGCAAGCCTCCACATCAAACTGCAAGTGAAAACCCGGGCCAAAAAGGAGAAAAAGAGGAAGAGAGATGTAAAAAAGAAAAGTATGAGAGAATGTGGTGTCACCGTCAGAAATCATCTCCAACAGCCGTGTACAGTGGTTGAGAAGAGAGGATAGGATACAATATGGAGAGTGCAAAATAATAACACAAATTTCAAACTAATCTAAGCGCCAAATTGTTGTGTATTATAAACCACATGTGACAATGTTCTTGTAATTTTAAATCTCTAATTTTCTTGTAAGTCAATTATCACTTTGACAAAGTTCCCGGCATGTTCCAAGCAATAATCACCCGAATGATAAAATTTTAAGCAACAATTGCAAACAAAACTCATTCAAATGATCTTTATTTCTCGAGAAATTAATCTTTCAGTAAAATATCTTCAACGCAAACCAAAAAATAATATGGGAAATTATTTTAATATATAATAAATAGACAATCGAGATTCGATCACAACATAGAATCACAATATAGTAAACTCGATAAATATTCCCCCACAACAATTGTAATTGCATGCAGAGATTTTTCACACGTAGTTAAACTAAAATCAAAACCACCGTATGAGAAAGTCATTTTTCAAATTCCAGTTTATACTTTCATAAATAGACAGTTAATGCAACTAATCCCAGTATGAAAATAGGCCTCTTGTATTGATGAACTTTGCTATATACTGTACATTCTATAAGTCAAACTGAATGGAATTAAATTACTATAAACTTGCAAAAGTCATGGTCAAGAACTTGCAATTTCATTGTGTGAAAAACTCAACGATCAGATACCAGAGGTTTGTTATCGTTAACAAGATTGTTATGCTGTGCAGGGATAACAATCTGACAGTCCAAGTCATTATTACTACCTTCATCAACCTGGCCATCAGGTGCAAAAGAAGAATAAAAAAGAATGCATTTATTACCATAGGAATAAAAGATAACCTGATATTATAAATGAAAACATACTTGCTCAGGGAGTGCAAGAGAGTGTTCCTGATTTCTCTTAGAAAGATCCCTCAAAGCGCCCTGCAGAATTGCAGTGTCAGAATGTGGGATAATCAACAATCAAATTTAGAATTACAAAAATTAGCAAACTTCAGATTCAAAGTTGGACAAGTTTGAATTTAATGCTCGCTAGAATATAGTTGCACCTTCCTTGATATGAGAGGGAAAGGAAATTAAATTAATATCTGATATCTCTAAGAAGAAAATAATATCATAATACTATAATAACATGTTGAAATGCGATAAGCAGGACATCCCAAGATTCTGATAGTACTAAAACAGACCACAAAATAATTTAGGGGCAGCACCTTCACAATACTGAATATAAAACAGATGAAATTATAGGTCTTCAATGTCTTCTCAAAATCAAACCAACTTAGATAACAGTTGACTAATATGTTAAGCATTTCTAATAGAGCAAAAAAGAAACAGAACTGCCAGTAGTCCCAAAAGGGTTTAACCCATACCATTGTAGAAAGAAATATAGGAAAGAATAGGAAGGAGACCTAAAAGAGACAAGTGCAAATAGAGGAGCAAATATCTTTTTTTTCAATTTCAACAGCTGGATAGATGAATGTAAACATGTAGAGAATACAAAACAACATCCAACTACAACCCCCTGCCCAAACAAAAAAAAATCATGGAAAAATACTTACCCTATTTGCCCAAAAAAGCCCACAAGCATTGCATAGTGACCTTGGACCAGAAGGCCCCCTTCGCATCATAGGAGTGGATTTTGAACTTGTTCCACAATGTGTGCACCTATACATTCATAATCATGCAATACAAAGAGATAGTAAAACATCTAAAGGCATATCTCACAACCCAAATTGCACCACCAGAAACCCCCAATCAGTCACAGTATCATATCATATTAGGACGAAAGAGATTCAGGTAACATGATTGCACGGTAATGTGATGAAACTTACAATGTTTCTGATTGAACAAGATCCTGCCCTGACTCTTGATCTGAACCCCAACTATTAGTTCCATCTTGTTTCTTTGATGAAGTAAACTGACCCTTATTCCGATGCATCCTACATTTAAAAATCAGTTGAGAAATAAGTATTGATGCAAATAAAGTCAAACAGCTAAAATGGTTAGCAATGAGAATAAATGTGGAACATTGATGGTGTACAATAGTCCACTAGAAGATGAGAGCTTCCTTATTTGATAACATTAACCAAATATGAAATAACAGGTGCACAAAAAGGTTCTTGCTAATAAAAACAACTTGAAATCAGGAGACACCAAGCCATTTGTTGAAACTTGAAACAATGCAAGCAACTACATACATACCATACACACACCCATTTCAATTAAGCATATATTTTTTTTTTATGTAAAAAAGCATCCAACTTACTGTCAAAGGATGCTGTCATAAGGGGAGGAAGAGCAAAATCATAATTATGTCAGTTTCATCCTAATCGTATTATGGTCAACATTTGTCTAACAATAAGAACTAAGTAAGAAACAAATATAAAGTAGCTAATGGAGAACATAGCTCAGAGTGACTAGCCCCAAAAATGCTATAGAAGCTGCAATGGAAAACTTGAGTAACAAGTAAATAATGTTTATAGTTTTACACCTTTATACCAAAAACAAATTAACAGTAAACAGAGTCTCTCTCAAAACTTAAGATGCATTTATCAATTATCCTAGGGCAATTGCGGTCACTCAGGCAACAACTAACTACTTCAGATACTCCAAATCTAGTGATGTATCTGTACATCTTTAATATCCAATACCAATACTTGTACCATAGTTATCTATCCCAGATAGTGGAGAAGAGCAGCCGAGCCCAAAAGAGGGATAGCGGACAGCGAGATGCACGCTATTGTAATATTATATATAGATAAGCTCAAAAATAGAAAAATAACTCAAAATTCATGCATTAGTCAATTGGTTGGGCTACGGTTCTGCTGACCATCAAGGAAGGAAACCACACAGGTAAAAAAAAAGAAAAGAATAACAAAAATTGCAGCTAGCAGCAATAAAGAAAATAAGGAGGGAAAAAAGAAAAGAAGAAAAGGAAAGAAAAAATAAGAAAAGAAGGTAACAGAAAAGGAAAGGAAAAAAACTATAGAAAAAAGAGACTCGCCAGAGCCACAGCAAGAGGACCTGCCAGAGAAGATGAGACAAGGAGAAAAAGTTAGGGCACACACGCACATGGTCAATGATAAGCCAAGAGCAACAATGCACAAAAAGAATAAAAGGTTTGAAAGTGGAAAGACAAAAATGCCCCATCTATGAGGGTATTTTCGAAATTTCACAAACTGCTCCAGATTCGCTTTGCCAATTTCACGGCTGCTCAAGCCTCATCATTAAAATGTAACGCAGCAGAGTCATTGTAGAGGCTCCGGGTTGCTTGCACAATATAATAACAGCATTTATATATACATATTCCAATTATTTGTGTGAATGTGTTCACCACGTGTGTTGATATAAAAAAAAAATCTACAGTACAGATTCAACTGTCACTCTCACTAACTGAAATTATGCATAAAACAGTAAACTTTCTACTTTCAGTGAGGAACAGTTATTGCAACAATCACAAACAGACAAATTGTATTAAACACACATCATTATATATTTTACTTATGTATCCTATCATGCCCATATCTTTATTTAAAAAGAAGAAGAAAAAAAGACTATTTTACTGCATGTTATATTGGATACTTGTACTTGTACACTTGCAACATAGCTGAAAACAAAATCCTTTCAATTCTCATATTTTAAAATATCTTCGAGTAAAAACCACGCATTTAAAAGGTACAATAGAATTGGTTTGGCATATATCTCACCACCAGTGCACTTGTTTCAACTTTGAAAAACATAAATGAGGACCAAGTCCTTCCACTTCAACAATTCAAGTGTCTTGTAGAGTGCAGTTTTGAGATCACTCGACATCAACCTAATCCTTCAAAATATACGTAGTGGAGTAATCTCAGTTTTTAACACAATAAAACTACAAAACCTATACATTCATGATGATATCATATTTTTTCAAATCAATTGTCTTTGACACTATACCACACCAATCAACAATATACCTAGTAATACACTTATGACTGAAATGGTTTAAGAAGCAAAAGAAAGTCCAATAATTTTGTATCTAAGTTCAAGAGCTTACTATCAAATTCATACCTGAGTGCAACTTCTTGACGTACACTATATCTAACTTTCTTATCAAAGCACCGCTCTTTCCTCTTCTGACGGAACCTACTTAATGATGCTGCTCGCTGTGGAAGACTACATCTCACAGGATATTCTGCCGCACCCTGAATTTATCATTAACAAACAAATAAATAGAAAATACCCTCAGAAACACCCATTTAAATAAACTTTTCTACAGCACTTAGATAAAATGAGTTAAACTTCTCTCATAAATTAAAATCATATCAAGGCATGTTTGGATAAACTCCTCTATAAGTACTACTACTCGGAGAAGAAAAAATAGAACTACCTTCTCCAGAAGATAAATTAACTTATACTTAAGTTATCAGTTATTAGCTTCTCTAAATTAACTAATGAATAACCTAATTTTGGCCTATGAAAAAACTAATTTCATTTTTCCTTCTTATTTTTCCTTCTTATTTCCTCTTCTAAAAGGGCTTAGGGAGAAGTTTCTCCGAATACGTATAAAATCGTTTCTATAAACCAAACATACCGTCTGATTTTGGGGCGACATCGCCACACATTGCGAGCCCGAAGTTAGTTCACTTCCTCCCAACAGCAAAAACACTGATTGAACCTGTAACAACGTCGCAACAGGGAAAAGAAACATATTAATCGATTCTTAAAGTATAGAATAATTATAAGAACAAAAAGTGAGAAGAAGAAAGTGCCTTATCAGGTGTAACGGTGTCGAAGACATAGACATGGCCACGAAACGAGAGCGTGAGCTGGCTAGAGTCATGGATAGTGAGGTCAGGGGGCGCAGCGTAGGAGTCAGCGGAAACGTCTTCGGCTCCGGCGCCACCGTCTTCGATGGTGTGGGAACTGTAATGAATGTGGTGGTTGGAGGCGGCGCCGTCGTTGTCTTCGGCGGGGACGATCTGGCTCATGGGACCGTACATTGTTGTTCGTAAGAGGGTAGAATTAGGGGCTTTGGATGCACTACATTACGCGGGTAAACTGTAAAGTAGGGGAAAAACCTAACCCTAATATTAAGACTAACCCTAACCCTAACACTAACTGAGTTTGATCGAAGAGAGCGAGTAAGAAGATGAAAAACAATGATGATGAGGATAATTATAAATACGTCTGAGAATGTTTTGTGCGGTGTGAAGGCGAGCAATGTGGGAGTGAAGAGACAGAGAAGGTACCACAAAAGTAACCCTAATTGTGTTCATATTAACGAGGTTGCCCCTCCTCTCATTTAGTATACTTTGTTTGAACCAGGTAAAAAAAAGAGTAATAAAAATAATAATAATAAAAGAAAGATTATGAAAATAATTATGAGATTTGTTTAAAAAATTAAATTTTAAATATTTCAATTAAAAAAATTATCAAAATAATTACAAATTTTTTTTAATTCTCATAGAAAACGTTTTTTGAAATTAATAAATTATCTAAAATTTAAAGTTGTTAAAAATATATCAATTATAAAAAAAATATCAGAACAATTATGACTTTTGTAAAAAAACAATTTACCAGATAATTCTATTAAAAAAATTTAATTTATCAAACTATTTGAAAATTGAAATTTTATATATGTCAATTACAACAAAACTCATCAAACTTGTAAATCTTTTATACTAGATGATAATTCTATTATAAGAAAATAAAGTCACTAAACTCTAAATTATAAACTCTTAATATAAAATATTTTTTAATTTAACAAATTATCTAAAATGATTGGATTTTTAATATGTCAGTTAAAAAAATATAAGATTTATAAAAAAAAATCCTAAAAGATAATTTTATTATAAAAACAATAAAATTACCAAAATCTCAAAACCACAGTCTAAATAAAAAAAAACGCTAAATTATAAATTCTAAACATAAAATCATTTTTTTCACTAATCAAATTATCTTTAAAAATTAAAATAAGTATTAAAAAAAAAAAGATGCCCGTTGATAAAATTACCAAAATATTTACGACATTTGTAAATATTTTTCTCTAGAAGATAATTTCATTATAAAAAAAATTAATTTATCAAATTATAAAAAATATTTTTTTAAAATATGTCATTTAAAAAAATTCACAAAAAAAATTACAAATTTTATAAATTCTTTTCACATGAAAATAATTTTATTATAAGACCTTTCTTTAACTTACAATATTATCTAAAAATTAAAAATTTTAAAAATATTAGTTATTGCAAAAGAATTAATCATAATAATTACAATATTTGTAAATCCTTTTTACTATAAAATATTCCTATTTTAAGAAAATAAAGCTATAAATCCTAAATATATAATTTTTTAATTTATCAAATTATTAAATTTTCAATTTTAAAATATGTGAGTGACAAAAATCATCAGAATAATTATGAAATTTGTAAATTCTTTTATCAAAAGATAATACGAAAATAAAGTCACTAAATTAAACCCTAAATCCTAAATTTTATATCCTAAACTTTAATTATAAATTATTTTTTTAATTTATCAAATTATCTAAATTACAAAAAAAAATCACCTACATAATTATGAGGTTGTAATTTTTATAAGATAATTTTATTATAAAATATTGTTCATATTTATCAACTTATCTAGAAATTTTAAATATAAAAATTAAAAAAATCCTCTAGAATAATTACAAGATTTGAATATCCTTTTTATTATAACATAATTTATCATAAAACAATTTTAAAATTTATCAAATCATCTTAAAATTAAAAAAAAAAAATATATATATATATATATATA